TAATTGCAGATATAACTTGGGAACCATTTTAGTGCTTTTTAAATTCTGTCACCAAGTTTACCTGGCTAGGAATCTTTTAATAAGCCTTAGGGAATCCCATAGAAATCTACTCAATAGAGCCACAAATGTAAAAAGTTTTAAACTAGCGTAAAAGCTTTACCAAGCCCCTTTCTTTGAGCCCCCTCTCTATTAAGCCCCTCTGATCAAACAAAAATTTTAAATTAACCCTTCTCTCTATTAAGCCCCCTCTTTACCCAGGATGCCAAGCAAATGGTCGAGTATGTATGTATAACTTATATGTTTTTATTATTACATGCTTCCAATTACTAATTTAATATGATTAAGGCTTTCTTCTTAAGTTGTTCTTTTCTAACTGTGTTCCCAATGGACACATTGCTGTGAATGTATCTGGAACTACACAAGTAGAAAGGCCAGAGTATTTTGACCAAAACCTGGTAGGTGGCAATAAGCAAAGTTGCCTCAGTTTTGTTACCTTTATTAACAGGCAGAAGCAATACTTGCTAAAAGCAGATACCTTACTGGTAACACCCTAACAGATGCAGATGTGCGGTTATTTGCAACATTGGTCAGATTCGATACAATTTATCATGGCTTATTTAAGGTTAGTGTTAGTGAGTTTTAACTTGTTGTGACTAATTTCAAAGCTTTTTTTATTTTTATGTTTAAAGTATATTTTTAGTCGGGAACAAATGCAAATGGTATACCGAGGACTCTAATTGAGGAATTTTAGCCTGTGAATGTTCAAATAACAGCTTTGTAAAAGAATATTTATATTGTTTGCAAAAGAACGGCTGCAAAATATTACATTCTTCTAAATAAAAACCTCTTTCTTGTGCTTTCCTCCTTGCCAGTGTATGGTCATCAATGACTATCATCTTGATCAATCTTAAATTGCATGTTTCAATTCAATACAAATTAAATGTATTTTTTACAGTGCAACAAGAAAAGGATAATGGACTACCCAAATTTATGGGACTATGCACGAGACATTTACCAACATGATGGTATTGGCAAATCCACAGTAGATATGGAATATTCTAAAATTTCGTATATGGTAAGTAGTTTTTTTCAATGCTATATTGTGTCTTACATTTAGAAATACATGTTGAGTTTAAGAGCTTTGAATTTTTGCAAAATTTAAATCTGAGTAAACTATAAACAACATCAAATGTGATTTTTAATTTTGTTTTTCAGAAAGGTATGCTGCATATAAATCCACATGGAATTGTTTCAGCTGGTCCACATGTTGATTTTGACATTCCACATGACAGAAAGAAAACTTTCCCTGGATAGAGGGAATATTGCTTCACAAGCTGCGCAACAACAGATGCCATAAAAAGTGCTTTTAAAATTCTCTAGCAGACCATAATGCTTAACGTACACATTACTACAATTTTTATGCAGAAATTTTTAACACCACATATGCAGAAACGCTTTAATTATTTTTAATAAGTAAGAAATATATAATTTGCAAAGTCTGACCTAAATGGTACTGAAAATCAATGGTATTTAAAAATTTTGAAGTCAGAGTCAGAGCTGAAAAAAAAATTCTTTTTAAATTCCTGTCTTTTTCTTGACTTTAATTTCTCAAGTAAAGCACCATGGAAAGGTCATTTTAACGAAGCAAAAATACCAATTAAAGGAATGTTGTTTGGAGAAAAATATGATGGGTTACCTTTGGCAGAATATAGTTATAAAACTTGCATGTGATTGGGTTTTCCTTCTCAGCAAATAAACTTATATATCTTAAGAATTTTTTATAGCTAAATAACATTTGGATATTTGCTTAAAGGAGCTATTTTTGTTATCAAGCTAATTACTGCTGAGTTTTCAACCACTTTTTTGCCAATTTTCAGAAGCACCAGATATAATAAACTTCCATATGCAAGTAGTTAACTCATTTTTTCACAATTTGTGATGAAAATTAAACACAACAAAACAAACAAGACAGAAAGAAAAATTCAAGTTAAAAACTATTAAATATAACTAATTTACTAATACAATTGCTCTAACAATTACTGTTGGGACAGTCTAGCTTTCCATAATGGCCATATTGAATAGCTGGAAAAACTGGGACATAGTTTATGATGCATTAACATAAACGGCTGGTTAAAACAATTAGGACTGTTTATTTAGATGCTTTTCTTTTTCAATGTTACAACTAGAAGTTGTCAAAAAAACATAGCTTTCCTTTATTTCCCTGAGTGTCGTTCGCTAACCCTCCTCCTTGCTTCTAGAAAACCCCATAACCTAGAAAACTCCATGGCCTAGATATCTCCATGACCTCAAGTTTGAATATTTCTCAGAATGTGGCCAGTTTTCACGATACTTCAGAAACCTGGCCTGCCAATGGGGGTATCATTAGAACATTGGGGGTTTCTGCCTCCCATGAGAATCAAATAGTATTTTTTTACAAAACCTTGTAGTTTGTAAAGGCATATTTGCCAGGTCTTTTTTCTGTATGAACAATGAAGTGATTGAATGGTCGTTGTAATTTTTCTATCATTTAAATGTACATTGTTGAAGTATTTGTAAATGCTTTGTAAATTTGTAAATGTATATGCTAACCTTTCATAAAATTTAAATAGCTAATAAATGAACTTGTACATATGATGCAGGACAGCAGCAATTTACACAACACCCTTTACGTTGGTTCAACAGAAAGTAAAGAAGCTATAAGATATGATAGCTGTAATATAATTCTATGTAAGCTGAACTTTTTATAACATTTGTAAATTCTGCAAAAATCTCACAGAAAGAAAGCAAACTGGTACTTTGTAGGCTTCCAAACTGAATAAGACAATTTTGAAAATACTTCCTGCAATCTCTCCGATTAATTGTCTTTACCAAGGAAATTAGTAGTAGCAGTTACCAAGGAAACCATAAGAGCCATTATTTTTCTTTAAATCTGGTGAAAGATGAAACAACTCAAAACAAGGCAGTTTTTTACCGTACACAGTATCAAAGGGGTCAGGTAATCACTTAGAAAATGCGATGAATGCAGTTGACTGCTCTGGCAACCAGATAATTGTTCCTTTGTTTCAAAAAGATTTATAAACTGGAATTTGGGTCATAAGGAAGAAAGTGGTTTGTTTGCCAAAAAGGGCAAGACTGGTGATGCTAAAAATAAAATTGGAAATGTCTTGATCAGAGGTTCTTGGATATGCAGATCAGAGCAATGGTGAAGGTAAGGGATCTATATGAAGAATTGAATCTTTTCACAAAGAAAAAAATTAGTTCAGGCCTATAAAATCTAGCATGTTGAGATCCAAGGAAAAGAGAGGCAGATTCGGATAGCTATGCAGATCTATTCAAACACAGTGATGACACAGTGCCAGTTAATGGGTCTGCAGCATACTAGTGAGTTGAGTTGGCTATGATTTTCTCCTCCTGCCTGGTTTCCATATAGCTTTTATGCATTGGCGATGACCTAGGAACTAGAATCATTGGCGATGGCCTCCTAGTATATCACAATTGCAACTGCAGTCAACATGTTCCCTTGCTAAACACTTCTTTTAACTTGATGTTAGAGGAGAAACATTGCTCAAAACGAAACTATAGATTACCACCAACACCAGGTAACAGGGGCGGACTGGCTGGTCGGGCTATTCGGGCGATCGCCCGAAGGGCCGGTTGGTTTGAGGGCCGGTTGATAAAAGTGCAAAAAAATAAATTAGCTTAAAAAGTGAATGCGAGGCAAAAAAGTATACCCACGCGTTAATCTGTTTGCCTTGAATTTTCAGAGGGCTTTGTGGGAAAGAATAAATATACACGCGAGTACTCCAAAACCATGAAAATTATGAATTCATTATTGTCACCGCAGCCCAAAAACACTTCTTCAGGGAACATGTTATTGACATTTTGTTATATCTTATATGGACGGTATTTCTATTTTGGCGACATATTATACTGTAACATCCCTTTTTCAATGCGATACATAAAGCCCCGGCAAAACGACTGGACATTTGCACTGGTCACACACTGGAAATTGCTCACTTGTTCAGAGTGTGGACATCAAGAAAATATTGGTGGTGGCCAAACGACTGAACATTGTCCAGTGAACTTTTTCCCTGTTGAAGAATGCGGGCGGGAAAACTGGCAACAGGACATCTCTTTACCTTTGAAAATACACTTTTCATAGCCCTAACCGTGTTATCGTATGAATTAGAGTGCATTATTGAAAAGTGGCTAGGACTGCTAGGTTCATCAAAATCACCGTCCTCGTGCTCTCTGACATCGCTTTCCTCATCGGAACTAAAGCTAATCTGATCAGAAGACTCGTCGTTACTAATGAAATGCCTTTTTCTGCTATTGGTCGAATTGAATTTTCAAGTTGTTTCCATTTCGTTCGCGGTGTTGACTAGGAAAGTTTGTTGAAGATTTAAAAATGGGAAATAAATTGACGTCAAATCCAAACCATTAATCGTGCGCGAACT